GCTTATTCGCGTCGCGTTCGGTGTGAAAATGCCTTTAGTCTGACCCGTCACCAGTTTGCCTTGGGAGACCCTACCAGGGACATATAGCCCCCGACAACATAGCTCCTAGGATCACTCGGGTACTCAAACCCCTCCACCACATTAAGGTGGCAGTTCAAGGAGGGGTGGTGAATTATTAAAATCCAGAAATCTTTACATTGTTTTTTCTTATTTAACCAACCTCCCCCCACTCATATTTCCCTAAAACACAAAATAAACAAACAAACAAATGAGAATTGTTAAATCAAGTCACCAAGTGCTGCTTTAAAGCCCAGCGTGTATTTCTGTGGTCATATAAATTGCAGATGTTTTGGAATTATTTATCTAAATTATGGTCTAGTGTCTAAGTGATCTCAGTTATGGTTTCTGTGTTAACATATCTTTTAGTCAGTTTGAAAAGTCAATGTCTTGGCAATGGTGCATACCTTGTCTTTACATTTAGGTTATTGATTGTGCCTTTATACAGGTCATTCATCTGCATTGGCAGCAATTTAAATCCAATGGCAGGGGAAGAGTTACTGATTTTAATAGAATCATCTTATGGAGTTTTGTAATTGTGATTATTTTTCATATATATGGCAGCCAATCAGAATTTGATTTATAGTTCAGTGAATGCCAGCACACAGGAGAGCTACTTTTTATTACTGATTACTGTGAACTTTGTGTGTGTCTGTATGTACAGCATCACATTGCTCTCCATTTGAGATCTGTCGCTCATTTATCTACCCTAATTAGACAACAGCAATAAAAGGATGGCTGTATTGCTCCTCTGTGATTCCCCAGTGAATGTTAATCTTAGTTTGCCTCACTGATGCTACATTTTCTTGTCCACATGATCTCAGCTACAAACAGCTCCACTGCCATGACTGAGATCCTCATCCTGTCACACATCAGCTGGCTGTCAGCCTCATTAATAAAAACATTAACTCACAACATCTGATCAATAGCTGATGACTCATCAGGCTGACAGATTTGCTACACCTGCGTGATTGGTGAGCCGAGTTAATCCTTCGTGGTTTGAGAGACGGTGAGAGACCGTGGGAGGATGGTGGAGATAGCTGAAGATCTTTGATTCTGCTTCTGCTCACTTTTTAAGTGTGAACATCCACTGACATCTAATCCATGTGTGGGTGTGTGCAAATACACACACCTGCACATGCCAGACCCCCGCGCACACACCACCACACACCACTAATCACCCACCCACACACATACACACATATACTTCCTCCGTATAACAGCAGCTTAAGTGTGGATTATTTTATAAGGATACTTAATAGAGATGCACTTATTTGCAGGAAAAACAAAGAAAAATAAAGAACTTTTGAATATTCCAAAAGCAGTTCAAAGCTTTACATTTGATCCAGATGATTAACTGTTATGTGAATCACACACACAACATTGTTAATGCACATCAACCAGACAGTTCCTGATGTTGAAGTGTATCATGAGTAAACAAACAATAAAACTGTGGCACGCTGTTGAGGTTGCCACAAATACGCTCAAATCAGGCTCGGAAACACACAGAGGAATACACAAGATGTACACTGATGAAACACACACACACACACACACTATGTGTTGAGCGAGGCGTATAAAAGGGGCATCCTTCCAACTCAGCAGAGAAGTGTTCTCCTCACTCTCACACACTCCTCTAACACGCTAAACATCCTCTCTCAAGGTAAGAAAACCATTTTTATATTTTATTATCTGGCAAAGTGTAGGTTTTAGCATTTTATGAGATGGTTTGTATATAGTCAAATATTTTTCACACATAATCAGGCTGGTTTGAGACATTTTTTTTAAAAACATATCGATGTAACATTTTGTTTCAGTTTTGCTTTTAATTTTTTAAGCATCTAAAAGTAATACTTATGTGACTACATCTCATTTGGTATGTTGTATTTTAAAAATATTGGTAAGCAAGGCTTCTGACATTAAAAACAATTTACTTGCTTTAATTTTGTTTTCATTTCACTCCATGAATTCTTTTCCACTGATGTGTCTTGAAAGGAAATGGAAAGAAATTATTTTTGCAATGACAACAGGTCATTTTGACCTGCTGAAATCGCACTCATGATATCAAGATCCCACTATCCACTGTGACTAAAGCTGTTGTATTTTGTGCCGTGCTCCTGGATTACAGTGTGAATATGCTGCTCTGATTCACATGCTTACAGTGTAGTCAGAGTGATCATTAACTGTGAAAGAGCAGTCATCTGGCAGATGGTCTTAGTTGTAGATTCTCAGTGTGGAAGACGACTGTTGAGTCAGGAAGACGCCTGCTGTAAACCCATACTAGACTACACACTCAAATTCATTCTGATTAAGTTTTCCCTGTGTCCCTTACTCTCTGTGTGTTTCAGATGACTGCGGGGCCGTGTGTGTGCATCATATTGGCAGTCCTCTGTACAAGCTGTCTGGGGCTCCCCTTTTCCTCTCAGCCCCCAAATGAGGGCCAGCATTCCCTCTCTGCTCTTTCTGAAGGTATGGCTTGAGAGGCAAAGTCAAGCCTGCAGCAAGCACATGTATTAATATTGCACTGTGTTTTCATATCTCACATCTGCTCGTGTGTCTTTGTCTCTGCTGAATAGCTCTGCTTGAGGCTGACATCCACACCTTGGGAGAGCCCCACCTCCGACACAGCCGCTCTGCCCCCCAACTGAAAGCTCTTCCTCTGGCTGATGAGGATGCAGAGTCCCGGGCTAACCTCGGTGAGCTGCTGGCAAGACTCATCTCCTCCAGGAAAGGTGTGTGTGTGTGTGTTTGTATGTGTGTGTGTGGGGGGGGGTGTAAATGTGCTTCTCTCTGCTTTTGTATGTCTGTATTAATTGCATGTGTTTGGGTGTCATCCCTGCTCTACCTACACAATGTTGAAGACTTATTGGATTGAAGAGTGTGTATGCGTGTGAGCAGAAACTGTGTGACAACATTTGCAACAAAGATTTCTTTTCAGAGACAAGTGCTTTTCTGTGCCATTTTCTTCCCCTGAGTCTTGCTAATTACTGGAATCAGTGCACAGCTAGCTTAGTAAAATGAATTAGTGGCTCTGAAAAGCTTTTGTGGTTTGAAAGAGCATGTATTAGCGCATGCTGCCTTCTGGCCATTCTTCTTGTGCAATTTGTTTCCCTTCTCATCTGATTCCTGGTTGCTAGTTTTTTAAATTATTTTGAAACCTTTGATCCTTCCATAGGTTCTCATGTTCAGTACTCTCTCTGGCAATGTGACAGGATGGAGCAATATCTGGGCTTTCACAGTGCATGACACACACTACATCTGAATTTTCTGCTTGGCATCTAGAAATCAACTTGCGTGTCCACATGCACAACATCTCTTTGCAGAACGGTTCCTACAGCCTGATACTTTGTACACATTTCCACAGAGCTACAGCCAGTCAGCTACAGTAAATCTTTCAAGATGGGATCACAGATGAGAAAGAGACAAAATGCTCTGAAGGAAAATTTTCTGCATCTGTAGTGAATGATTTACAAATCAAAGAGTCATTTTCAGGATTGGATCAGTGGAAAAAATAGGCATTTTGGTTTTGATTTCTTGAAAAGTGCTCAGTATTATATTTAGCATAGAATAACATATTTAAACATCCATATACAAGTAAGCAGCAGAATTAGTTGATATATTACATTTTTTAAGTTGTGAAGTTTAAATTTTGATGTTGCATCATTTTCAGTACAAGTTTTTTCAGTACACTCTGGGAATGAAAAACACAAAACAGATACAAAAACTGTACAGACAATAAAGTATGTAAAATGTCAAAGGGCACATTAGAAATTAATATGTATTACCTAAGGGAATGTGTGTTTCTGTTGATTTGTGGGTGTCTGTGTTCTTGCGCTCGCTGTTCACTTGCATGTCTCGATGTAGGAGGTGTCATTGTCGAGCCTTCTGCAGCCAATCTTCTCAGCACATCGGGGAACTGAAACATCATGTGCATGTTTGCGTGCGTGCATGTATGTGTGTGTTGCGTAGGAGGATGTGGGTGGAGTGAAAACAGAATTTCTGATTACCAAACAGACAGTAATCCTGCTTTACTTCACTTGGAATAAAAAAAAAGGAAGAATCTGAGATTGGAATCAGAGATTGGTTGGTTTGGAGGTCAAAGTGTGTCAGGAAGACAGTTTCACGAGGCTTGCAGTGACAGGGGCACACACATACAAATATAGAAATAAATATTCATGGACATGCAAAGAAAGGGAAGATAATAGTATGTTGTCAGCCTAAAGTTCAACTAGTTTTGGGTGGTTTGATGTGTATGTGTGTGTGCCTGTAAGTGTATAAGTCAGAGGGTAAGTTATGGGGAAGAAATGAGAAAGAAGGGGTAGAAAAAGTAATGGACAATTAAAAGCAACCCAGCTACACATCAAAAATAACAAAATCAAATCTAAATGAGATCAGTTATAAAACCAAAATCAATAACGCAACCAATCATCATCAGTTGTGAGGTGTGGAGACTCACGCTTCTATTAAAGTGAGCACTTTTTTTCTCTGCAAGGCATAAACACAAAATTGTAAGTCTGTACCTTGGTGATGAACATCACTGACCTCTAATCTGCCATTTTAGGGCAGAAAATCTAACCAAAAAAGTGATGAAAACTTTTATATTTAATATATCAAAATATATTTTAGTGCAGAAAGAATATTAACTGCTCAATTTGTGAAATTATTATTTGTGTTTAGTCTCAATTAGAAACTGTCAAAGGTATTTTCCACTATGTTTTATGTAGTAAAAACTCAACTCTGGCTGAACATCTAAAAGAATTAAAAACCTGATTCAAGTCAAAACACATTTGTTTGCTTCTTGCTTCCAAAACTAGCTTTCTCCAGCTGTCTCTGTGCAGAGCCGAGCCACAAGTAGGTCCACAACCCAGTGAAGTTCTGTCCCATGCTCTCCTCTTATTCCCTCTTGCTGTTTCTCTTCTACCCACTCTTTCTTTCACCTCCACCCCCTCCTCATCCTCCTCACTTCTCCTCCCAGGTTCTGTGCGCAGAAACTCGACGGTGAACAGCAGAGGCAGCGGACTTAGTGGCAACCATCGGATAGCAGACAGGGATTACTTGGGCTGGATGGATTTTGGCCGCCGCAGTGCAGAGGAGTACGAGTACTCCTCGTAAAAAAAGGGGAGTCACGGCTCATACCTCCTCCACAAGCACATGAGAAAAAGAAGAAACCAACCCACACAAGCTGGCTCATCACTGTCTCACAATAAGAGTATTTATGATGCATTTGTTGTACATTTGTTAGTAAAGCTGTAATAATGCAATATACATATGCCAACTTTTGCAGAAAAGCTCTGTGTCCAGCATTTGTTTGTTTCTGATTTCCTCTGGTTTTTATTTTTGGGTGAAAAGGATTGGCTGACTGTTGAGACTTGACTGAATAAAGATTGAAAATATCACTCTCTGCATATGAATTATTTTAATACAATGCATGCTGCTTAAATGAGATCCACTGACATCCATTAAATGCATTCATACAGTGTGTTAAAACAGAATTATCTAGTGCAAACATGCATTAGCATTACAGTAAATTATTAATCTTTATCTATCACAAAACTGTGGTGATGCATGAGCAGGTACGAATACTCATTACACATGGATGAGCACAGATGTTTGTTCTGGAAGTAATTTTGTGATCCTTTATGCAGAGAATGGGCTACTGAATAAAAGATATAAAATCATTCCTCAATATTTTAGTAAAGTTTTGGTTTTATTGCAAATTTGTTCTAAATTTGATGAACTGTATATTGTGTTCCTTCCTTTTTCATTTCTTCCTTTTTCTAGTTTTCTGCATTGTGGAACTGAACTGTAAAGCCAAAGGAATTAATGGTGTAAAACTAAAAATTGTGGCTATTGTTGCTGGATCTAGTTCTGAAGGCTCTGCAACTGTCACCTTATGGAACAAAAAAATCTTTAATGTGCTGCCATATGAAAGGATTACCTTTATACGTCAAGGTTATTTAAGTAAGTCATTTCAGGTCTGTCTCCCTTCACACAATTAATTATTAAAAGGACTCATTATTGGCACTGATCAGTGTTTGAAAAATGCAAGGTGTGCTGCAGCATGACTGAGAGTGGATTAACATAAAGACTTGATGTGATTCTTTGGAGTGAGGTTTGGACAAAAAACATAATATGACCCCATGTCAAATATGGGCTTTGTAGAGATCACCATGAGAAGTAAAACTACAGTCTGCCTGCAGATGCACGAGTAAAGAATTCCCCATGGCATCTGTCATTGACTTATTATAATCTATCATTTTATATGTTACATGTAAAGGATGGATTGAAAATAAGAATTATCACTGCTGTTCAAACAGAAGTGCATCACTGCATAATACTACAGAATACATTCTTACTAATATCTTATGCAGGAAAACGTCTGCTGCAAAATAATAAAAGCAAAGTGTTGCACATGAGAAATCAGTGCTGGACCACGGTGGATCATTGGGAAGTATGATGAATATAGGGAGAAGCATTGGTACTGAGAAAAGGGGTCAGTGTGCAGCCGCACAAAGGAGATGAAAGCCAGTGAATGTATCATTCAGAGAGCAGTCTGGGGAATGTTGGAGAACATCTTCAAAAGAACAGCAAGATCATTATGAACTATAAAGTCTTTGCTAGATATTGAAACAGCTTGAAGTTTTTGGAGAAACTGATACCAACTCAATTATTAAAGTAGGTTAAAAATAAATTCTAATAATTACTTTGGGCTCTATTACAGACACAATAGCAACTTCTAGAAATTCCGGTAGATTTTGGTGTTATGAAGAAATTTGTGCAATGAGAAAAGATTTGTAGTTAACTTATTTGGGCCTGATGTGGTAGTGACATTTGAGCACAAATGATGTTGCATTTTTTTTTAAATCTTGAAAGCAGCAACAGCAACCAAAGGCAGAACTCCTGCAAGGCTGCAAAGTTCAACCTCTAGAAGGTATTAGTTTGGGAAAGTGGTGGTGAATTTAGACGAAGCAGTCCATTATGCTGTTCCTGTGTTATGTGAAAGATGTGTCTGTCTGAGATAGAAGAGGTGAGAGGGATCAATGAACAAACAGGCCTGGTGAATTAATTCAAAGACATGGTTTTAGAAGCCTTTGGGGAAAGAGAGTGTTTGCCTTTTGTTTGTTTGTGTGTGTGCTAGGCATTGAAGCCACTGTCTTGGTCTAAGGCCGCACTTGAATCAGAAATTTACAGAGACTTGAGATTCTGAGTATGCTGTGGGAATTGACTCACACTTTCTCTTTAAACAGCTAAGGCTGAAAAACTTCAGAGGTAAAGGCTTTTGAAAGATTTAAAGGCTTCAAAGGGACTGCCCGCAAATGTCTCCATTGTGTGTTTATGTGTACGAGCTGACGTGCATGTGAGCATCTGCATCAAGTGCCAGTGACATAAAAAAGGTGAAAAGGCAAATGTAAGTGTACCCTACAGACTCTTGCATGGAGTGATCTCAGTGCTCACACATGCATAATTATGTTGGTTCTGTGTGCTAGGCCACTCATTTATGAAGGGAGAATAAGCTCCACAAATGTGGCTGTAACGAAGCTTCAGCAACGGCGATGAACAGATGGTCTGAGTTCTTTCTGAGACTGGCTGAACAAACTGTCTCTCATTCTCTGTCCTATCTCTCTCCAACATTTCCCTTCATTATGTTTAGAACAGCTTTAAACTGCTCAAAAGCATTTTACTGGCATCTGAAACAGAAGAACCTATGGTAAAAGCACCAAAGGAGGATTCCTATCTTTGAAGTCCTGGACTGGTGCACTCCAAAACCATGTCATTCCAAGGTTATAAAAGATAGACAACTAGTAGGCACCACTACATAGCACAAGAGTAAACACTACACAGACAGTGACGCTGTTATCTTATTTTTCTAAAATTGAAATCAAACCTCTGAATGAGAAACGTACAATTGTGTGGTTAATGTGCTCAGTTTTTTTTGTCTTCAAGTGAAGATTGTAAAAACAGACATGTGGGCGTGGCCGGGAATTTTTACATTAAAAGCTGTGTTGCGTCCTGAGCAGTGAGGAGATGGTCCTGAATGGGGGTGGCCTAGGCTATCCAAAATGAGCATATATGCATTAGCAGGGGGATTTACTGTATATACCCCTATACCAAAACACCTTTGTTCCCAAAATAAAAACATTCTCACACATATCATACAGACATCAGCTTCAGATTAAAAGAAGTTACTGAGGTCCAGACCTGTGAGAGCTCATAGCTGGCAGCGATGGTGATTTCATGAATTGGTATTTGCACTATGAAGGTTTACTCTGTTAACAGAATAAATGTGTGGTTGATGGTGACTTTTGTTAGAGAAACTGAATACAATTATCTTACAGTAGCCTATATTTCATATAGGCCTAGTTCTCATACACTGCAGACAGTCTGTGATAGTTCTGCTCTACAGTACAAACATTACGAACTCCTGAAGTATTAAGTGACACAAAAGTCTTTGGCAAGTGGTATGTGAAGATTCTTAAAATGACATCTGTACAGAGGTGAAGCAGATTGAATATCTGACAGATCAACAATACCTATGAATTCATTTATGCAGTTTCATATCAAGCCTGGTCAGCAGAGGCAAACTGACTGCTTTATAGGAGAAATGTAGCCCATATACATTTTCACACGATATTTGAGTAATTGTGGACATCAATACAGATCAGCATGTTATCACTCTCCTTGTCATATAGATGAACATTGTTTGGACCCTGAGTAGAAAATAAAAAGTTTAAGTTGACATTTTTTAAATTCGGGATCAAAGACTACATAGATTCAAAACACATGGGCAGAGTTATAACATAAAAACATGATTTTTTTCTAATCTCATATAGCCAGATCTCTGCTTTGTCCAGCTACTTGCATTGTAATAGAAAATTCCAGAAAAGAACAGAAGAACCCGAAACGTATTCCCAGTTGGCATCATATCTACTGTGCAATAGAGCTCTGACAGCAATCTCATCTGTGTATGAAACTCCAAACCACTCCTCATATCAGTGAAATTGTTAATTTGCAGGTGTGGAATAAATTCCCCTGCTGGGAAGCCTCCCATATACCCAGAAACTCTAATAACCATATAAAAAGCTAAACTTTACCTCACCAGGCCTTCTCGAAGCACGAGTCTCCCCTTTGAAACCCTGCAGAGTGAGACAACTCAGAAATTTAACCCTAAAGTAAAACAAAGTTTTCAAAATTTGGGTGATGATGATCTTGACAACAGCACAACTACATTTAGCAAGGATTATAACATATCAAAGTACAACTTCTCATGTGTTTGTCAGGTTTGCCCAGCTCCACCTTCCTCTCTTCTTCTTCCTCACACTAGCCTAGCCCTTGCACTGATTACACTATTCAACACACCTGCCCCGCTTCCCTGATTACTCACCAGCTGCACCTCATTAGTCTCCTCCATACTTATACACTGTTCACCAGTCACTCCCCTGCCAGTTCTTTCTCTGTCTTCAGGCCAGTGGTTGTTATGTTGTTTTATCAAGTTTATGCTAAGATTGTCTTTGTTCTCTCTAGTCCTTGTTAGCACCCTAGTCGTTATCCTG